AGAGAATGAGAGAGAGAGAGCACGAGAGGGAAGAGGGTCAGAGGGAGAGGCAGACCCCCCCGCCGAGCAGGGAGCCCGATGCGGGACTCGATCCCAGGACTCCAGGATCACGACCTGAGCCGAAGGCAGTCGCTCAACCGACTGAGCCACCCAGGCGCCCCCATAGCCCTTTTCTGACAGGAAACGTGTGCCAGTTGAAACCCTGATGGGAGACTGATGGGACCTTGGGAACCAAGGGTGTGCCAGCCACCACCATTACCGGGGTCACATCAGAGAGCCACTTCCTCGGCCCACAGGGGCGAGGGAGCACCGACCTCCTGGAGCCCTCAAGGAAAGAACTTTCTCCCCTTTTCAAGGATTATTGAAAGAGCGCCTGCCATTTCGCTCCTAAATGGAAGTTGCCTGTTTACACAATGTCACTGCCTTCCTGATACGCACAGCACTTGCAGATTGGGTAACTGATCACAGGCGGTTTGAGGAAGAGATGAGATCTGGGCTCCAGTTAAAGTCCTGTTGAAACACAAACCAGACATAATTCTTTTATTCAGGCATCGCACACTGACATATTTTTATTCACTGACTTTAAGATTGGTCAGGCTTCAAGGGCAGTGCACGTTCTGGGCAAAGTCAAGAGCCTGTTCAAGTACTTACAGACTCTCCAGGCTCGCAGTTCCAGTTAAATCAGGAAATTCAGTTATTTGTGAGGCGCCATTCAGAGTCCTAGAAGGAGGGGTACATGAGTACTATTGGAAGAAGATTCCAGAAAGGGGTAATTTTAGCGCCATTTTCAAAGCACTTTAACTTAAAATATTCACTTGGTTTTTACAGTACCCCTGCAAGGGGAAAGCGATCTGTAAGAGAAAAACCTACAGCGTTCTTAGTTCAGGTAAATGTTGAAAAGCGGATCTTCCAACAAGCTGGATGGGGTTGTCATAGAAATGTCTGAAAAAAATCCAAACACCAATGTCTTAGTATAAAAGTTGAACGACAAATGAATACCTGTTCAAAATTTTGACGAATATATTAAATGTATGTAATCTTGATTGTACTATATTGTATAACATTCCTGGTTACTTGGTAAAACACAAGTGTTTTAACTCATGAGGAGACTTTTTTTTTTAAGAATTTATTTATTTATTTGACAGAGAGAGTGAGAGAGCACAAGCAGGGGGCGCGGCAGGCAGAGGGAGAAGCAGGCTCCCCGCTGAGCAGGGAGCCTGACGTGGGACTCGGACCCGGGGACTCCGGGATCATGACCTGAGCTGAAGGCAGATGCCCAACCGACTGAGCCACCCAGGCATCCCATGAGGAGATTTTTGGTAAGAAATCCATACTATATAAAAATGAAAGTTTCTGACAGCAAGGCAGATATAAGTGATAGGTACTAAGGAGAAAAGCAAGTGAACAGACTGCAGGTATACCTAAAAATCTTCCTCTGCCTCCAACATCTGTGGCATATCCGTTAAGTGGCAAAAAGGTAATTCAAGGTGCTGGCAATTGTATCATTAAATAAAGAAAGATGCATTTCTACAGATTCACATGAAGGTTAGATCCTCGGGTCAAATCTTATCATAACATACACAAAGGACTCTTCAAAGTATTTGAGAGGAAATTTGCTCTTCTGCTTTTTTGGCAACATTAGATTTCTAAAAAATTAATTACTGCTTTAAAAGGTGAGGCATTATTAGAACTTAAATATTTTGTTTTACAGATGTTTTCAGTAATGGTATTTGAACTGTCTGGTCAATGAAGCCCTACAAATAGGTCTTAGTGGAGAAGACATCCTAGTTCAATGAAATTCAACAAATATTTATTGGTGTCTACTGTGCTCAATGTATGGGGGAATTTACAGACTGAGTCATTAAGGAAAGCCATCATTAAGTATCTACCATGTGCCTGACATTATGCTAGATTCTGGGAGTTTGAAGAAGATGGCTAAAATGTCCCTGCCCTAAAGAAGCTTGGAATCAGTTGGGATAGAACAAATAAGTAGCAGCATAACACTTTCTGGTTGATGAAGCACTTTCACGTATATAGTTCAATTGATCCACTCAATAACTTTATAAGATCCAGAGCACAGATGCTTAGATATTATTTATTTCATTTATGGAGGAGGAAACTAAGGCTCAGATACTTTGGCAAGTTCAGTACCTCCCAGAGCTTTACTTTTCTCATTTGTTAAACTGGGATAATAAATCTGAGTTGTAGGGTTTGTGTACAGATTAAAAGAGCTCATGCTTGTGTAATATCTGGCGGACCTGGGTTAGAGTTGTCACCCAACAAACCTACGTCCCCTTCTGTCCTCCTGCCCTCTTCCCTTGGATTAGATCATCGATAAGAGAAAAAGCTAGAGCTAGAATATAGGTCTTATGATTAAAAAATGGAATTTTTCTGGGCGCCTGGGTGGCTCAGTCAGTTAAGCGACTGCCTTCGGCTCAGGTCATGATCCTGGAGTCCTGGGATCAAGTCCCACATCAGGCTCCCTGCTCAGCAGGGAGTCTGCTTCTCCCTCTGACCCTCTTCCCTCTCGTACCCTCTGTCTCTCATTCTCTCTCTCTCAAATAAATAAATAAAATCTTAAAAAAAATGGAATTTTTCTCATAATATCACACTGTCCCTTATCTATATCATATGCTTGTATGTATATAATTATGGTCACATACATATATGTACGTATGTACACTGGGCAGATATGAATGAATACCCATGCTTATGTACGTAAGTTGCACAAATAAGGAGTTATAGGGTTCTCAGGAAGGAGTTTCCTTGTGAGATCAAGAAAAACTTCATGTAATGTCATTTGAAACGGGCCCTGGGAGACAGAATGTCAATAAGCATGGTGAGGGGATGGACTCATAGGAGCAAGGAAATAAAGAGTTTTGTTCTATGGATACAGCTTTGTCGATCTGGGTTATGCCATCGGGTAATTGAGGAGAGCTGTGGAAAGCTGGTCAGGCGATGAGACAAGAGACGGTCCTGAATCTCCGGATGTTCCACAGTAAGAGGGTGACAAGATGGATGCTGTGCCTCCATCCTCCCGTGCTGGAGGCAGGGGGATGAGCCTTAGATCGGCAAGAACGTTGAGATGGTGGCTAGCAGAGGCTGGTGGCAGTGGGTCTGAGAAGTTACGCAGAGGATGGGGACCTCAGAGGGAGAAATGGAGACCGCGTAGCCAATGGGACAGGGAAGCATTCACAGAAACTGGGAATTGGGGATCTGCCAGGGGGTGGCAGTGACTGACGAGAGAGAAACAGGCAGAAGCAAGGTGAGGAGAGTTTCAGGGAGAAAATAGTGAACGCCATAAAATACTGGATAGAAGCACTAATAAATTTTGGGGGCTGTTAGTCCTTTCTCAAGTGGTATTAGCATATCAAAAGAGTGATTAAAAAACAAACAAACAAAACTCAATCTTGTGGCGCTAAGGAAAAAGAAGCAAAGGCAATGAAATTTGCCAGCTTTTAATATGTAAATACTCTCTAATGAGGCCTAATGTTTATTGGCAATAAACTTTAAAACCCTTAGTTTGCCAACATACTGTCAGACTATTTCAGAAACGATGAATGGGATTTAATTTTTTTTTTCACTTGTCAGGGCTAATTGGGATTCCAGCTCATTTGTGACAGATACTACACGGTTCCAGAAAGTCTCTTAATCAAATTGGCACAGGATGAATAACTGCCAAGAAATGCCCCTAGAGTCATGTTCAATAGTTGTCCTTTCTCTCCTCCTGCTGATTCGAGACACCTCCGGCATGATCTCAGGCCAGTACTATGCCCCAGTTTGCCAGGTCTTTTAACGAAGAACCATCCTAACACCTGTTTTCATCTTCCCGTGCATCTACACGTGATTGATCTTCTGTCTGTGCTAAATGTGAAACATATAACTAATTAACTATATGCTGTAGTTGTAACTCTATTTTGTGCTTTTATGGTATATAAACCCTCATATACATCTTTTTAGAATATATTCACCTTTCTAGAATTACAACCGAGCTTGTAATTGTATAAATGTGACTCGATGCTTGGGCTTGATAACAAATAGATACAGAAACCTCGCATAAAACAGTATCCCCCCAATGCCCACAATCAATGGAGTCTATTGCTGTAAAGGACTCCTATTATAATAATTTATAGGGGCACCTGGGTGGCACAGTCAGTTCAGCATCTGACTCTTAGATTCAGCTCAGGTTGTGATCTCATGGTCTTGAGATCAAGCCCTTTATCAGGCTCTGCACTCAGCGCGGAGTCTGCTTGAGTTCCTCTCTCCCTCTTCCTTTGCCCCTCTCCCCCTGCATGAGCACTCTGTCTCTCTCTGAAATAAATAAATCTTTAAAAAAAAATTTGTATTTCTAGTATACCTGGGTTCAAGTTCTGAATGACTAGGTGACCTTGATAATGATTCTCTAAAAATCAGTTTTATTCCTTAGAAAATAGAGATAAGTGAAAGTATGTCACAAAGTATGTTACTGTGAAGTGAGTCAAGGCCTCTGAAGATATGAAGCATAATGCAATGCACACCTGAGGTCCTAGAAAAAAATAATCTTTTATGTTATTTCAGCATTCAGCTGAAACCTGGCAAAACATCTCTATAGATGCTTCTCTGTAAAGAATCTTATATTGACAAAGACGAAACTTGGGAATATATAGGACATTCATTTTATTATATTTAAAATTGCAATATGTATTATATCTCAGGATGGAAAAATCAAAAAGAACTACGGCCACTTACATTGTAATAAGAGAAGGATTGCCTACAAATGCTTTCTCGGGTATTGACTTGATATTGTTGCTGTGAAATCCTCTAGAAAGAGAGGGAAACATTTCTTTAAGAAAATAACCTGTAGGGTAACATTATATAATAGTACTCTCTTCCTGTGGCAGTGATCAGCGTCTTTGATAGCTAGAGGATAAGGTTAAATTCCCCTATGCATTTTGAAGCTTATGTGCTCTCTAGGAGAAAAAGAAATCACAAGCTGTCCTCTTGAAAGAGGAATAAAGAAATCGAAAAGAACAGTTGTGCTTTACGGAAGCTTACAACCTAATGTTATAAAAAGAAAATCCATCTGTTCATATCCAGTAGAAAACCACTGTATAACAACCAGACACAGAGGGAACCATCTTTGGAGAGAGGATTATGATCACTTCTCCTGACCCCGTTTGAAGCGAGGAGAAGAGAAAATTGACTTAAGCTGCTGTGAAGTAGAGATTTAAGTAAGCTCCTTATGAGGACAAGATTTCCTGAGCGGAAGGAAGGTACTCAGTGAGTCTGTAATAACAAACCAATTCTCCTCTGCTGGGTGCTAGTGTTGTCTGAATGGCAGGGGGGCAGAGTCAATGCTCTTTGGGTTCCACGGGCCGGCGACTGGCTGAGGCGCCTTCGGGCTGCCTGACCATAGACCATGAGGATTTCCCAGTTGAGCCACACGTGGGGGCTCCTGAGGGAGAACCCTCCTAAAGTCTTTTGCTTCCAAACAAGCCCTGTTGTCTACCTCCTTTAGCTGTGTCTCTCATTTCTCTTGGCCAAGAGAATAGGCTCTACGTTTATTTTCCTTTCCAAGTCTTGGAACATTCCTTACATACATTATTCATATTTTTAGGTACAAAGAAAAGCTAATTGAATTATAGCATATAAAAGACAATGGATGCAACCTAAGAACTGAAAGTCAGCTTTACTTTAGTAAAATGGTGGGTTTTTAAAAATTAAATATGATTCATGAAGTATATGAAGAATATGAGATGATGTATGTGAAAACATCTAGCACGGTACTAGGCACATGCATTTTGTTTCTCTATTCCTAGACTTAAACGACCTAGAAAAGTTTGTTCTTCAAAATGCTCAGCAAATAACTGAATTCCGTGACAATTCTCTATAAATGTATGAAGTGTGTAGATGTTGGGGGAATATAGCTTAGGAAAAGAGAACTTAGAGAACTATGTATATTTTTTCTAATATACATATTTTAGAGAAATCCATTCTAAATTTAAAAAAGATTATCTAATGTTTGCTGGAGATAGACTAAATGAAAATATGTTTCAAGTGTACTTAGCCATTATTTATACAAACTTTTAAAATTTTCTAATCAGTCATACTAGGTACAATAGTCAAATATATTTTAAAGTGAATTCACAAAGAAGAGAGTTCTCCCATTAAATTTGTCCTAAATACTTACAGTTCTTTAAGGTTGGAGAGTGTCCTGATGGCAGTGGGGAATTCATCAAGATTATTATAATTTAAATCTCTGAAAAGAAGTAAATAGTATTTTCAGTTTTTTATTTGAAAATTCCTATATACATTTACAGAGAAAGTGAACACCCTATTGCAATGGGCCAGGATCACTGATCAAAATCCTCCTTCCTTCTCTTCATGGAGAGAGATATTCTTGGCTTGCTGTCCACCATCATTCCACCAGTCTCTGCATTAACGTGGTCATTAGACTGCTCGTGAGAAATGTCAGAGTCAAGTCTCAATGGCACTGAGGTATTTAAAAATGGGGGGGGGTGGCGTTACATACAGCTGTGTTAATGTCCAAGTAGGAGGGACACTTGGCTAGGTTGTTGGTGGCTTGACCATGTAGCTCTTCACCTGAACCTGGCTCACCATGCTGTCAGCTGGTGTGTGTGTTCCTCCTGGCTCCTGAATCACATCTCCTCTCTTGTTCCCACCTTCACACTCTGATGTTTCCTTCTGCTTTTCAGAGTCTCGCCTGAGAGGACATCTTGGAGAGTTGCTTCATCCCTGACTCCTGTAGAGTGCCTGTGATTCTCCCAGCCTGAGGTCCAGGATGACAGTCTGCTTCTGGAGAGGTGTATGTGGTATTGGGCACTCTCAGGAAGGGCCTCAGGTCTAGAATTTCTTCAGGGTCACAAATAAAGACTCAGACCAGAAGTATGTTTTCCTCGGTCTGTGAGGCAAAGCTCTACATTATCCTTCATGCCCAGAGATGGCATGGCCAAACAATTTCAACTCATTAATTTCTCTATCTGTTATGACACAACTGCCTTTTCAATTCCATTACTCAGACTAACTCCACCTTATATCTACAACTTCGTATGAAAAAGTAATTGCCTCCTAGTCTCGGGAAATGGCAGATTTCCCAGATGACGCAGAAAACTCTTTTGGTCAGGCAATCAGATGTGGTTAGATCTTCCTCTATGGAGAAGAATTGCTTTTTAATTTTGAGAGAGATAATTTGACCGAGTTAAACATGAATCAAGATTCCTACTTGTCTGGCACAAACCATCCTTAAGTTATACTGCAGGCAGGAAACTCATGTCTTTTGTGGACATAAATTTTCTTCCTGTTTGTAAATCTCTCCAGATGCTCTGTTTTGATTAAATGGAGGATTGGGTCCTTATAAATTACTTGGGTTTCTAGTGAGGCAGAGGAAGAGGTTGGGAGTAACCAATTTACTGATCCTCTGTAGCCCTGGGCAAGGCGAAAGGAGGGTGGGGGACAATGGGACTCATATGAATTTGCCCTAAAATATTTGACTCTATGGTATTTACATGAAATCCTGGGTTCTCATCTCAAACATGGGGTGGGGGGGAAAGAAAGCCTATTTATGGAAATACCCATCAAAGCCAATATTGTTTTTTGTTCCTCTTGTGTTGGAAAGGACTGGAGGTGCTTTCCATTACTAAGATCCCAAGCCCAGCCCTGTGTAGATAAGGGAGAAGTTCTAATTTTTCCAAGCACCTCATAAGAATGGTTTGCCTGTGCCTTTAAGTTGACTTCAAAGTTCTGCCTGGAGAAGTTCATCTTTGGCATCTCCTTATGAGGACGATGCCTCCCTTCTACGAGGAAACACAGAGTGACGTAAGTAACCCAGGAAGGAGAGCTGGGAGCGCTCACTGACCTGAGCCACCAACAACAGATGGCCCATCAGGAAATCGTCAGACCCAGACCCGATTAGAGGCTAAATTGACCAAGTACAAATGCTAAGCTCTGGATGCAGATGAATAATGGGCTCCAAGGCCACGAGAGAGGTGGTCTTTGGTCTCTCCTTTTGCAGGCCGGGTCAGTCATCACTGTAGATGTAGTGGCCCTGGGTGGTTTACAGTACCTGAGTATTAGAAATATGGGGGTGAGGAGGGCAAAACTGGAATCACCCCCCCTCCAGAACACTCAGGACCCCCAAAGCCTGTCACCTCACCCTCATTATACCTCTCACTCCGCTAGGGCAGTGAAGAGCAGCTCCTCCCCTGAAACGGCTGGGGCCTGGGGAGGCCCGCGAGAACATGTGAACTCTTACCGTCATGGCTCTGGGAAAGGCTCTAGGCGGTCAGCTGGCTGGACTCTATTTTTATTATAGGTACCAATTCAGATCTGAGCTTTTGACCTATTCTTTGGAAGTAGTGTATGCTGGTAAACATGGATTTCAGAGTCAAACTCGAGAAGAAGCAAATCCCAGCTATGCTACTGCCTAGATATGTCATGTTGTTAAAATAACTTAAACCTGACTAGAGCTTACAGTGGGATGGTGATAGCCGCTCTCATAGGATGGGTTGTGGGATCAACTGAAACCATATATGCCGAATGGTGCAGTATTTGGATAGAGATATACGCAATAAATGGTAACTATTATTACTTTTTACTTTTTTGAATCACTTTGTTGTTTGCTAATGGAACTCCTGTTCATCTCAGATTGGAAAGTCCAGCATTTGTCTGGTCGGTATCCTCTCATTGGGTGGGGGCCGGGAAGGGGGGCATGCCTGGACTAGACTCATGAATAGTGAGCCTTGAGTGACAGATTAGAATTGATCCTTGACACAGAGTACACATTCCTAGGCAAACAGTCGCTAAGTAGAGAACATCTCATTTAGCTTATAATCATTCTAATTTACTACTCTTGTTAGATTAAAATAAAATCTCAGTTTTACTAGCTCTGTGTGTGTGTGTGTGTGTGTGTGTGTAAGATAAAGCCACTGTAAATATCTGTTTAAAGCTCAGGCAATTAACCAAACCAAACAGCAAGTTTGACTTAAGGCTATTTTGATTCCTTCAGAATACTCATGAAAACACTGAAAAAAGGGAAACAAATAAAAGGTCAACTCACAAAGTCTCTAGGCTGTGGAGCCCATCAAAGCATTTCTTTCCCAGGGAGTGAATTCTATTGTTATGGAGATGCCTGCAGGAGAACATTACGGACACAGTCAGGAAGGCACACTGCTCATGGAAACTTCGGCACAGCCTTCTGATTGCTTAAATCCAAAGAAACTTAGAGTAAAGAATGTGCTAGTTATATATAAGAAATGCTTTATTTAACTTTTTTTTTTCAAGGCTATATGACCCATCCACTCTTACCATAGATGATTCTATACTACAGAGTTTACTAGGCAGTGACAGTTTTACCTTTTGCGTTTGAGACGTCAGGGAGTATATAATAATACGGGCAACATGACTGATAAAAGTAAATTCAGGTTGTTAACATAGCTTTCGGATGTAGGATATTAAAGCAGAGATTCTGGCCATCATTGACAAATGAAGGATGGAGGGAAGGTCCTGGTGTACACGCATATTTTCTATTAAAGCTGCAGGCTTATAAATGGCTATGTTCCCAGGGTGGGACCACAGGTTAACAGGCAACAACAATTTTAGTCACAGAGAATGGTGATCAGATTTTTTTGGCTGCCCCAGGAGATTAGTTATCTTGACATAGTATTAACATGTATAATTATCATCTTTGGCTCAATGGTAAGTCAGTTAAGTCAGGGCCAATGAGAACAGCTGTGTATATAACTGAAAACTGGACCAAGTCCCAAGGGATTTTTGGAAAATGGGCTTAAGGAGAAGAGGGTGACGAATAGCTGGGTCTCTGTAAATCTATTCCTTCAGGTGGAGGAAAAAGTTAAAGCACACACCCAGCTTCTGGCAGGTCAGCGGTATCATCTTTATATGCATGAGTCAGTATAGAAATTTGTCAATATCGCCCGAAATTTCTTATCCTTTAAACTAAGGTTTTGTTTGTTTGTTTTTTCAAAGATTTTATTTATTTATTTATTTATTATTTATTTATTTATTTATTTATTTATTATTTATCTATTTATTTAATTTGAGAGAGATAGTGAGAGAGTGAGAGCGAGTGGTGGGGGGAGGAGAAGAAGGGGGAGGCACGGGAGGGGGGAAGGAATCTCAAGCAGACTCTATGCAGAGTGCTGAGTGTGGAGTGGGACCTGGGGCTTGATCCCACGACCCCGAGATCATGACCTGAGCCGAAACCAAGAGTTGGTCACCCAACTAACTGAGCCAGCCAGGTACCCCAACTAAGGTGTTTATTCTAATAAATCTATGTTGGTTTCGTGTGAGATCTTTGTGACATTTATTGAAGATCTTGTACATGCAACACATGGGGGAAGGGGATTGAGGGGAACCTAAAAAGATGGATAAGATGCTGGCCAGCCCTTAAAGGAAGATAATACAAGAGAGAGACGGGTAATCAAGAAAACTGGAATAATGGAAGGCAGTGGTGGGCCCGTGGGCGGGCATGGAGCAAAGGGAGAAATAGGGCAGAAGAAGCCTTCCTCGAGGTTCCTCAGCAAACTGATCTTCCAGCCTTTCAAGCAGCTGCTATTTTCCTTTATCAGCCTTGATTGACCATTATATTATACACATGGGGCATACAGCTACACCCTTAAAGGAGACTGATTATTTTTCAAACTATTACTTGAGAATCATTTTGGTTTACTTAAAATAATGAAATCTAGACCCATCGGGGAAAAAAAGCCACACAAACGCACAGCTCCCTGTTAATGGTTTGTCCTTACTTCTCTTCCCTTGGTAGGGGTTCAAAAAATATTTATTAAATAATAAGAAGGGCATATTTCAATTTGACCTGAATTAGAAATTATCAGAAATAAGGAATTTTTATTCGCTTCTGTCACTGGACTAACTTTGTACAGTGTGACGATTGTCTGAACAATATACATGGGCTTCCCTAAGACAGAGGTTGTAGTTTATCTTTGAATGCCTCAAAGTGCGTGGCACTTAGCAGGTGCTTGGTTGAATTCTTTAATATTCTCAAGTCATTTCAGGGAGTCCCTATTCAAGGCATGAAGGGTCAGCACTTGAAGGCCAACATGTCCTGCGGTGAAAATTTAGAAAGTGTGAAAAGAGAGAGAGAAAGAAAGTCAATAAAACTTACAGAACTACCAAGCTGGAGAGGTTTCCAAAGGCATAGTCTGGTATGTGGTGTATTTTGTTCAGGGCCAAGGTCATGGCCTGCAGTGCTGATAAACTTCTGAAAGCCTGGACAGGGACTTCTGTCAAGGAGTTGTCATCCAGCCACAAGTGCCTCAGGGAATGCAGGCCACGGAAGCAGCTCGGGGGGACGTAGCTGATGTGGTTGGCATCCAGACGCCTGCGGAAGCAAGCAGAGAGGATGGTAAAGAGGGCAAAGCCCAGGCAGGAGGTCAGCCTTGCAGGGACACTCTCAGTATGCTGAGGAACAGGTGTGAAACAGGGCTCAGGGACCTCGGGATGCCCAGGCATCTGGAACAGTTTGCTCTCGTGGGAGGCTTTCCTCACTTGCCAGTAGAACCATGGCTTCTTAGAGCCCCTCGGCTATTAAAATTCCACGGAGCTATGATTCCCTTCCAGGCTTGTGGGTAACATGCCTCCATGCACAGAAGTGGCCTCCCCTGAGGTATGAAGCCTCAGTGTGATGATCTTTCAGTTTTTCTCTCTGACACCCTTTCTCTTCCCCCTTCCCCCAAGCCAAATACATGCCTTTGCTTTCTTTTCCTTTTTTTTAATTTTTTTTTTAAAGATTTTATTTATTTATTTGACAGAGACAGAGAGAGCAGGAACACAAGCAGCGGGAGGGGGAGAGGGAGAAGCAGGCCTCCCCCCGAGGAGGGAGCCCGATGTGGGACTCGATCCCAGGACCCAGGCGCCCTCTTTTCCTTTTTTTTTAAAGATTTTATTTATTCATTTATTTATTTGAGAGAGGTACAGAGAGAGAGAAAGCACGAGTAGGGGGAGGGGCAGAGGGAGAGGGACAAGCAGCCCCCCCTCCCCCACCGCCTGCTGGGCGCAGAGTCAGTCTCAGGACTGGATCCCCAGACCCGAGATCATGATCTGAGCCGAAGTCAGATGCTTAACCCACTGAGCCACCCAGGCACCCCGCATGCCTTTGCTTTCTCTGGACTGTTCTGAATCTACAAAACCTATTCTACCAATTTGTTCACTGAACTCTGGGAAAAGATCTTTTTGGTATTTAAAGGAACGGAGTCATTTCTGAAGGCTGTTAGAGACACGCCTTGGGGAGAGGAGAGGCGGTCCCTCTGGTTTTCTCAGTACAGTGCTGATAAAAAGCCTAAGAACTGTGGGCTTTCTTGCACATCTGACCATGTGCATTGGGCAGGTATTTGTTTTTCCTGACATTTTAAGCGAATAACAAAATGAGCAGCTTTCCCAGCTTTTGCTTCTTTCTTCCACACACCATTTTTTTTTTTT